GCGCTCTAACTTGCTGGCTCAGGGGGGTGAAAAATCACCTCCGAGCACAGCAAGTCTGAACGCTTTAAAGTGCTAGTGTAGACAGGCTCCCAGCGCTAGCGCTGGGAGCTAATCCCCTCGTGGAGGTGGATTACCAGGAGCACTGGGAGAGCTCTCTCCCAGCGCTCACGCACGACCACACTCGCACTTCAAAGTGCTCCATGGGAGCGTTCCCGCGACAGCACTTTGAAGTTTCCAGTGTAGCCATGCCCTCAGAAGAAATACAGCCAAGCCCTCTTGGCCAAGTTTACATTCAGAAAAGAGGGAGATTTGAGGGTCGTAGATGAAAAGAAGGTGCCAAAACCCAGGGAAGGGATAGCAGTGGTATAGGAAAGTTCCCACTCTACCTGTGGTACTTATGTGGCCCCCTCACCATGGTATCTGAGTGCCTCACAATGTCTAACTTATTTCTCCTCACAGCCCCTATGTGAGGTAAAGCAGTGATGTAAACCCCATTGTACAGATTGGGCATTGAGGCACAGGGAGACTAAAGACCAGATTTTCAAAAGTATTTAGTCACCTAGTTTGATTTTCAGAAGTGGCTACGTTAGACACTTTGTAAACCCCACTAGATGCCTAGCTGCATCTTTGGGTGCCTAAAATCTTTTGAAACTCTGTTCCTAAGGCACTGGCCTGAGGTCATACAGGAAGTCCCTGGGGAGAGTATAACCCAGGTCTCTCAGGGCTAGCTCCCTATCCACTCGACCAGCCTAACTCTCTGCTGCATGCTGCAAAAAAGAGGACTGCGATAGATGGGAGCAAAACCAAGAAGGCCAGTTCTCTGAGACGCCAGCAATCGGTCCCAGCTGATTGGGAAGGATGTCATGTTTGACAGCATGAAAAGCAGTACAGAGGTCAGGATGGATAAAGAAAGAAAGAGAATGAGAGTCAGATGAGAGGAGATCACTTAATCCCGAGGGGGTGGCAGGTTCTGCCCCATGCTAGGTTGTAGAGCAATGCCTACGTGCAGTTTTAGATTTTAACTGAAAACCATTTTGTTTTGTCATTTTTTGTTCTGAGTTCAAGAAAAGGAAGGAATGAGAAAGTGTCATATGAGTATCAGCTGTGTTTATGGCTCAAATTCTTAGGGGTTCACCTGTACCCTGGCCAATTCCAGAACAAAGAACAGAAATTGCATCCACAGAGTCCATAAAGTAGACTATTATTTTCATGATTTGTATTATTTGCTGTGCAGCATCCGTATACTCAGCACTGTTCAGAATATACAAGCAATATAGTCTCTGAGCCAATATGTATAAGATGTGTAGCCCTGGATTAGATGGCTCAGATATTTAAGTATGAAGTGTATAGTTACTGAGCACATCTTATCACATGTTCACTGCGATGTTAATGTCTATGAGTGGGGGCGCTGATGGCAATAGAAGTTTTACTTGATTAAGGACTAGAAGATTTGACCCTCCAACTTTCTTTCAAGAGGAAGAGATGCCCAGAGCTCCTGAGCCTATTTATTTTTCTTTCCTGCCTGCAGTGGCCCTGATATACCTGAGAAGTCTCCATTTTTTTTTTCAACTTTAAAATGTGGAATTTTCTTGGTGCTTGGTTTTAAATATTCTCCTGTGAAAACTGCAACTCAATCACCGTAGTGTTGTGTTTAAGAGCCTGCTGGAAAGTAACTAGCCTTTAAACAGAAGTGAAAGCAGTGTTGCCAACTCTCATGATTTTGTCATGAGTCTCATGATCATTATTGTTTTCCTTAAAGCCCCAGCTCTTGGAGTCAAGTGGATATGTGATGATTTCAGCCTTCATTCTTAAAGAAAAATGAAGTTTCTAACCCTCGTGGCTGTGGAGAAAGCTTCAAAATTTGACCCCAGTGTACCCTCAAGGTTCAAAAAGCAGAAGGCAAATACAAAGAACACCAAACCTATTATTTTACATAATTTCATAATTTTAAAGTCAATCTCATGATTTTTGGTGAGCCTGTTTCATGATTTTTGAATATTTAGGGTTGGCAATACTGTCAGAAAGTGACTGGAAAGTGTCAGTTTCACTCCTGTTTAAAGTCAGTTTCTAGTCTATTATTTGTAGGGGGGTAACATTCCTAGAGCCCAAGGCAGGTTCAGTATAAACTCACAGGGCCTGGCCCGAGTAGGATATTTCCAAAAGTTAAATGATCTATTCCAAGCTTGGTGAACTGAAAAAAAGTGTTAGAAAGTAATCTAGATTTTTCTAAAATTGTTTCAATTGTTGTGTTCAAGATTTAGTAACAAAGTAAGAACATACATTAAAATTTCAAACCTAACCAGTGTCCCTTAAGTGACCTGACACAAGATGTCAGAACATGTTAGTATTAGAGCTAAGTGGGGCTAACATTTATTTAATTTTCTTTCGTTATATAGGAATTAGATACAGTGCTCCTGTCAGCTAATTTCTAAGTTATCTGCACACAAAAAAACTAGTTTTCAGGTGCCTAAGTAGCCCCTGGAATCACAGTTAAAGTTGCCTCCCTCCCACCAAAATCTGAAATGGCACCCCTGGCTGTAACTTCCTGCTTTCTTTGCTAACAAGATCTGTTCTACGCTGTGTTCCCAATGACTAATAAACCCTTCTGTTTTACAATGGTGGCTGAGAGTCACTGCTGACTGCAAAGTTGGGGTGCACGGTCCCTTTGGGGGGCATATAAGGCTTCCCCATGTGTCCCATTCAGGTGGACTCCCTGCAGGAAGCTCACGGTGTGAACAGGGGTGCTGAACACTCCGAGGTCAGACCCAGGAGGTGCTGAAGCGGAGGAGGCTTGCCCGAGTGAGAGTGTGCCCAGACGGGAGACACACTGCACTACAGTCCTGTCTGACTTCATTTAGAGTGGTTCCAAAGCACTGAGTCTGTGATTCCATGACAACAACAGATTGAAACAATTATGTATGTGGATGTATAAGAAACACCTCGTCTCCAATATATGTTTGCAAGACCAGTTCAATACAAAGTCTCTATATAAAGTATAATTATATATATAGTCAGTAATATAAAGTCTCTAAATACATATTTCCTCCATATACCACAACCCTCTCAGAGAAAGCCCCTTAAATATATAATTGCAAAACTGTATATGTATAATTAGGACTAAAATCATAGGAATATTACTGTAAAAATATCCTACAGGAAATTAGATGCAAAACTACATTTAAGAGGTATGAGCAAATGCACACATTTTCTGTGTATATTCTATGTAAGGGTTATTTCTTTTTGCTTACTTTCACCAGACTTAGCGTTTTAGTTGTTTAATAATAAGGTTTACTTGAAATTCAACCCAAGTTTCTCTATGAGTGCCTTGCTTAAAGGCAAGTCAACTTGTCATGAAATTTTTTTTATACTACAGTTTTCCAGCAAGTAATCCCTGTTCTTGAACAGTGATGAGGACAGTAATGGAGAATATAATTTTCTCCATCAAGATAAACTACAGAACAGAATAAGAAAAACAACATGAGTCATCAGGAGTCCTACACTGGTTAGCATGTTCTAGAAGGTTTGGAATCAGAGGACTGAACTTAATTTCAGGATAGTTAGGCAAGAACCCCTCCTACACATACTGTAAGACTCATTAGCTGGCAAATTGCCTATTTTTTCTGCACTGGTTACCAATTCACTTTCCGGTGAAATTCAAGTTGCTAGGTTACTATCTGTAAAGACTTTCATGATGCAGATCCCATTGCAGCTATCTCTGGAACTTTCACTTTTAGAATTAACTTCCACTAGAACAGTCTGAACCCAAGTCTAGCCCTTTTGGAATATACTGTAAAATGTAAATCTTTGTTGAGATTACCCTGTAAAACCAGTCCTGGAATCCACTGACATTTAGTCTGCCAGCTGAGTTTTCCCACCTTTGACTCCTTCAGAGAAATTAGCTTGCATCTTTAAGGGTTTGTGACATATACATCCCCAAATTTAGGAAAAGTTTGTTTTGTACCCCATGTAAATAGCATTCACAGTCTACGATAGCAGGTGCATGTAAACAGATGCAATCCCCCATCTCAGTTTTAATGCAGTACAACACAATGCGTTACAGTTCAAACTCACCCCCTTCTTGGTGTTTACCTTCATTAATTAACATATGTTCCCCAGGGCAGGACTTGTCTTACAAATCTAAACCTTATCCTGGGTCTACTCTTCAGCTGGCAGCTACTAAGGTTTCTCCATGAAGGACCTCACATACATTGTCCTACCTTTCTCACCTCAGAGAGACTGTCATACTTTCAGTGCATCAGAATAAATGAGACCTACCTGGTCTAGCTACCAGGATGAGTCAACAGAATCACTCTGTACCTCCACATAGTATCCTATACTCTGCCACCTGCCATAGGGTATTGTACATGGATGTAAATAATAATTATACAACCAGTTTATATCAGATTTATCTTTGTGATCTACTGCTATTACAGAATAGTATGACCCCTTACATATTATCAGTGAACTTATTTGCATAAATACAGTTATCGTGCAACAAGTAAAATAAGTTTTGACATGTCACAAAGGTAAATGTGAAGTTGACCAGATAAGGTGACAAAAGTTAAGAGAAGGAATTCCCTTCCTCTGAAGAAGGGCCGTATTAAAACTGAAATATTTGGTATAGCAAACAAAGCCATTAAGAGTGTAGTGGAGAACAAAACTATATTTCTTTTTAATTAGTTCACTTTTTCTAGTAATTTAGTAACTGATTTTTGGAGGAAGCTGATTGTTCAATTATGTTACATTACTTCCCGTTTTTAAATCTCTTTATATTTGATAAACATTTTATCTGATTTAGTGAATTTTAAGAGCAAACTGTTTTGGAAAACTATTTTTAAGAAACATTTTTAATACTGACCAAGAAGTGCAAAAAAATTCAAAGTTAAAACTCCATTTTTAAATCGTTGCTAATGAACAAACAAAAGAGATTCACAGGTGTTGATGTTTTTACTTACACAAAAGCCTTAAAGTCAACAATCTGTACAGAATTTTAAACTTACTCTTGCATTAATGGTAGTATAGTCCATGCACCATCATGTCTGTCCATCTGATGAATAAGCAGAACTCTAGGTAATTCCTTTAAGAAAACCAAAAATATTCTTATGAGACAACAAAGTATTTTACAACACAGTATATTCTTAGATGCCTAATTAATTTTAAAACTAAATTCTTGTGGAAAGACTATTTCACTCTTATTTTCACAGAACTGAGTAGCAAACAGGCTTGTAGACTAAAAGAGACTAGGGATGTAGCAAAAGGATATAAGTCAGACTCTTGAAGAGAGGAAGCTTCTTGCAATTTCTTGTTTCTAAACCCTCTCTCAGGTATAAAACTAATGCACCTCCCACTTCAGTGAAACTTTATAAATATTCTGGATGATCTCTCTGGTTATTATACCACTTCTGGAACAATGAAAAGTTCATCTTATAAAGATAGTGTTTATAATTGAAAGTGGAGTATGCAAACTCTTCTAATGAATTATACATAAATTATGTTAACCAGAAATACTTATTTAATTCCATAGAGCTAATTTATCATCTAATAAAGAACTGTAACATAAAGCCCACTATTCTTGATGACACCATTGGTTTTGTTCCAATTCCATGGTATTGTTAGGAGTAGCTACTACAAGTATGCAGTGTCCCCAAATTTCCAGTCAGACTTAAATCAACAATCCAGTGTATTTTACTGGACATTATAAGTTTTACTAAAATTTCAATCAACATTTGGCTGTTTACTGTTAGTGTGATTCAAGAAACACCATTGCACATTATAAGAACACATTTTATGAATATCATAACAATATGATCTTCTAATGGTTCTAGGTAAGAAAGCAAAAGGATGAAAGGGCTGGATTAATACACACTATGGATATAATCAGGAGTTACATACAAAATTGATAGCTCCTCTCTTTTGGGAAGCACCAATGGGATGAAGCGCAGAAAAAGCACTCTCCCTCTCCTCAAATCGGAGGCTCCTCCATTCATGGAAATGGAGGGAACAATCTGATCCTTAGCACAATATATTTTCCTGTACACATATTATTTATTATTATTATTATTATTATCCCCTTCCCTTAGGTTTAGTCTACATTCTGCTCTTGTAAGCTCTCTCTTTCTGGTGCTGTCTTTCCCCTTCTTTCCCAACTCTCTCTAAAACCAGAAAATGTTAGGGTCCCCATCTTCCTTTTTATCCATCTCCAGAGACACATGACAGAGGTTGTCTATGTGGCTCCTACTTCCCCATTTCATATCTCTCTACCAAAAACCATACTAAATTATGTGTTAGATGGAATGTACTGTTTCAATTAGCTATTAATAAGATGTTTTTAAAATACTGAAGTGAATCACTGACTTTAAACTGAAATTCAAAATGGAGTACATGAACTCTAACTTTGAACTCCATCTTTGAGAGGGGACTTATTTACTACACAGACTCTAGCTTAAACCAGTCAGAACCGGTTTTTCCCGCCAAGTCCAACCCTCAGTGTTCCATCACCTCAGAAGCATTCCATCACCTCAGAACTCTTCCCGCCAAAAAGGCTTTATAAGGTCTTGTTCAGCGCCTGCACGGGGCTGTCCATTCCAGCGACAGTTCGTACACGGTCGGGTCTTCGCAGAGCTCCAGAGCTGAGATCGAAGAACAACATCTATCCCATAGTGTGTTTGAGGAAGAGGAGTCCTGTCATCGTCATTCCTATATCCTGCATTTCCTGGTGTCCATCCTCCCAGAGGGTCTCCTCGCCAGCGATGAGATCCATCAGTCGTCTGGACTCCTCAGTGTTCCTCCTCAAGGACTCTAAATCAGTCCAAGAGTTGTAGGTCCTGGGCATCACGCCTGTACGTGACATCTGCTGCATCAGAGCAATAGGAGAAAGGTTTCCGTGTTGGGGTATTGTTTATTGTTTTGTAGAATCCCACGGGAGGGTTTATGGGCCTGAGCTCCAAGCTCTCAGAGTCAGTCACTGATCCACTATTTTACTGATTCATGGTTTTGCTGTTTCACAGTGTTATTCTTGTATTTCTCCCCCCCTTCTCCCTAGTTTTTCTGTACCTTTTATCCCTAATACACTTATCTTTATTTGCACCATATTATCTTGTCTTTTCTTTATTTTATTATATTTTATGGGTAGCTAAATCCACCGGTGACAGACACGGAAGGGAGCCGAGTCTGCAGCTTCTGAGAAAAGGGGCTTTCCCTATTATATCTTCCCTCTACCATCTCTCTAGTATTTCCTTTGAAGCGTTACCTTCTTCCCCTTAAGGTAACATATGCTAGGGTTGCCAACTTTCTAATCGCACAAAACCGAACACCTTTGCCCCACCCCCTACCCCGAGGCCCTGCCCCTTCTCCGAGGCCCCACCCCCCGCTCACTCCATTCTCCCTCCCTCTGTCACTTGCTCTCCCCCACCCTCACTCATTTTCACTGGGCTGGGGCAGGGGGTTGGGGTGCAGGAGGGAGTGAGGGCTCGGGGTTGGGGTGCAGGTTCTGGGGTGGGACCAGAAATGAGAGGTTCAGGGTGTGGGAGGGGCTCAGGCTGGGGGTTGGGGGGTGCAGGCTTTGGGAGGGAGTTTGGGTGCAGGAGGGGCTCAGGGCTGGGGCAGGGGGTTCGGGTGGGGGGTTGGGGTGCGGGCTCCAGCCAGGTAGTGTTTACCTCAGGCGGCTCCAGGAAGCGGCAGGCATGTCCGGCTCCTAGGCGGAGGGGCCAGGGGTCTCCACGCGCTGCCAGCCCCCACAGGTGCCATCTCTGCAGCTTCCCTTGGCCGTGGTTCCCAGCCAATGGGAGCTGTGGAGCCAGTGCTCGGGGCGGAGGCAGAACGCGGAGCCCCCGTTGCCACCCCTGCGCCTAGAAGCCAGACATGCCGGCTGCTTCTGGGAGCCGCGCAGAGCCAGGGCAGGCAGGGAACCTGCCTTAGCCCCACTGCGCCATTGACCGGACTTTTAGAGGCCCAGACAGCAGTGCTGACCGGAGCCACCAGGGTCCCTTTTCAATCAAGCATTCCAGTCAAAAACTGGACGCCTGGCAACTCTAAATTATGCTGATTTCTTTGCCTGACTTACTCACTTTGCCTACTTTACACAGCAGTGCGAAAGGTAGAAACATGGAAATACATTGTTATGTCAGCTTCCACCTGAGAATAATTGGAAAATCTGGGCAAGCATGAAGAGGAAGGCTGGCTAGTCAAGATGTAGGTGTCCCCAGAGTAATCAAATGTTCTCTAGAGATTGTGTGTCCCTCTCAAACTCACTCCCTACTCACTGAAATTAGTAATGTGAATAAAATACAACACATGCACACAGTGCTGTTTTCATTAGTTAATGTTTCTCAACCAGTGTTTTTCACAGTTAGCAAAGCACACATTCCTTATCGAAGATTGTATATGGAACATGCCAAGTCCGAAGTTTTAAATTCAAATAGGTTCTGGGGTTATTCAAGTGCAAATAAATCAGCTAAACAAACATTGTTAATGGCTGAGTAACTATTTCCCCACACTTTGAAAACTCAAAGACGGCTGGGTTATTTTTTAATTACTTTTTAAAGTCACTTCTGGCTTGGAACGTAACAGAACACACTTCAGCCCAAAATGTGCCAGGCCCTTTAGAAACATACAGGCAGTAGTAGTCCCTGCCCCTAAAATCTTACAATCTATACAGACAAGACAAACAAAAAGCAAACATTTATTGAAGACATGTACCTAATCGTTTAAAGTACTTCATAAACATTAAAGCAATCTTGTAACTAACCAGTAGATAAGCTGTACTAAAATTATTTTACAGGTGTATAAATGAGGCAGAGGGATGCTAAAAGCATTGCTATATTCCACAGTGAAACAGTGGCAGAATTAGAAATATACACTAAAAATCTTCTTCATCAGTAAGCTAAATATTTGGAGAATGGCTTACCAGATTTCCACATGAAAGTAACTGCTCAGAGTCTAATAAATTTTTTAAACTTTTTTATTACTACTGAAGTTTCACAGATTAACTGCTAATCTGAGACAAATATTGGCAGAATGTGGCTATGCAACCTAATTTAACCAAACCTGGTATTCAAATACCTAGATTCACATAGTATTGGATATAGTTTCACAGCTGTACAGTGAAATCTATCAGTATTGTACAACTACAGCCAATGTGAAAAGAAGCAGTGTAATAACCAAGAAGAGATTAGAACTTTCATAGATCTTAAGACCAGAATGGGCCTCTGTGATCACCCAGTTTGATTTCCTGCATAACACAGCCACAGAAGTTCACCCTTGAATTCTTATGTCTAACCCAACAATTTGTAGTTGAGCTAGGGCATATCTTTTAGAAAGACATCCAATCTTGATGTTGCTATGATATATGTAACACGCCCTGTGTGACTTCTATACGCCATTGTATGTGAATGCCTTGTAATCGTCAGTGAAACATAAAACTCAGTAGTGGATGGTGATATTTGTATTTAAATTTCAAGTCATCTGATCAAAGCGTCAGAAATGCATGCCCAATACCGATTATGACTATGTAGAAATACATAGTAAACACCAGAGAGGGAGAAGAGCTAGATAAGATAAAGGACTATGCTGGTACAAGAACAAATTGGTATAAACTGGTCATGAATAAATTTAGGCCGAAAATCAGAAGAGGGTTTCTAACCATCAAAGGAGTGAGGTTCAGGAACAGCCTTCCAGACAGAATATTAGGGGTGAACAACCTAACTAGCTTTAAGATGGAGCTTGATAAATTCATGAAGATTATATGAAGGGGTTGCCTATGACAGCAGCGGACTGGACTCAATGACCCAGGATGAGTCCTATGTTCCTATGTAGCAATTTATTCAACCCTCTGACACAGGAGAAGTGCAAAATACACCTCTACCTTGATATAACGTTGTCCTCGGGAGCCAAAAAAATCTTACCGCGTTATAGGTGAAACCGCGTTATATTGAACTTGCTTTGATCTGCCGGAGTGCGCAGCCCCACCCCCCTGGAGCACTGCTTTACCGCATTGTATCAGAATTCGTGTTATATCGGGTCGCGTTATATCGGGTAGTGGTGTATCCAAAAGTTTCTCTTGGACTTTCCTTTAAAAAG